ACCAGCTGAATGTCCAGCCTGTAGAGGAGCCGTTAACCTGACAGATCAGAGTCACTGAATCTCCTTCAGTCAGCCACTTCTGTGGAGAAACACTTAACACTGCTCTGGGAACTGAAGATGAGAAATCACTCATTAATAACATGTTAAACTTGTGTGTGTGTGAAGAGATGATCAAACTCACCTGATACTGTCAGTGTAACTTCATCACTGCAGCGTGAGCTGCGTGATCCTCCTCTCTCTGCTCTATAACAGCAGTATTTAGCTGCGTCAAACTCAGTAACAGGACTGAATGGGAGTTCCTGTAGTTCACTGACACGGTAGAATGAACCATCTTTATTCCAGATGTACTCCCAGCTAGTGACTCCTTCACTATATATGTCACATCTGAGAGTGACTGTCTCTCCTCTGAATACATGTTCATCAGGTTTGATGGTCACTTTGGGTTTTGGTGTTTCTGTAGAACAGCAACAATTCACAATAAAAATAATGTGCTACTGTATGAACAGTTACTTGAGTCTAAAACACACACATGCTAAATCAGATGAGACTCACGTGTTGTTCTCTAAAGCTGTTATAGTCATTTATAAAAGATCTGTCAATATACAATCATTGGGAATTTTGAAACATGAGTTGTGAAAGTTTTTCAACAAGTTTTCCAACAGAAGATCTTGTCTCTCACTGTTTTGATTTTGATTTCACAGAGAATGTAAGAAACATATCTTGGTTTGTAACAGTTACTGTAGAATCAGTCATATGTCATGAAATATAGGAATCAAATTGTCTCACCTTCAGTATGTTGAGAGTAGACGATTGAAATCAGCACTAAAAACACAAAGAGAAACCTCATTACAATGTGAAGATTGAGCTGATAATAATAAAGATTAAGGGGGTCTGTATATGTGTCTAGATAAACATGAAATCATCTGACTGGTATTTTATAGATTTGGTAATAGCAGAGAACTGTTTAGGGAACTTCACGCTAACAGTCTGATCACGAGCTGAAGAATAAAGACAAACTCTTACTAACTGTGTACTAGTGAATACTACAATAACTGCGAAACAAACCAACAGAACTGATTCAACACCATTACACCACACAAAACTGAATGACTGACCAAACACACTGATCTACAACACAACAGAGTACATTTCTCTTTCACAAACAGCACTAACTGCACACTTCCTCTCTCAGACTCATCCTTCACTCATATATCATGGACTAGAGCTGGATCTGAAACTCTGAGAGCAGCAAGAAAAGACATAAATCTAGGAACACTAAAACACTTGATCATTTATATAATATAATAGCAATTCCACTGAAACACATTAAGAGAAAATAATACTCACAGAGCACAAGAGGAAGTTGACTGAGCGCCATACTGCTGAATGCTTCTCCCAAGGTTTTTTTCTCCATTTCTGTCACCGATGGAGTTTTGGTTCCTTGCCGCTGTGGCCTTTGGCTTGCTTAGTTGGGGACACATAATTTCTGGCAATATTGTGGACTTGATTGCACAGATATCACTGAATCAATGATGAACTGACTTTAACTGAAAAACTGAGTGTTTACTATTGTCCTCTTGCATTATAAACACACTATTTTCCTGTTTAATACTGTAAAGCTGCTTTGACTCAATATGTTTTGTATAACGTGCTTTATAAATAAAGGTGCCTTGACTTCATTTGAAAAAAAAATTTTTTCAGTTGTTTCTTATTTTCAGCTCTCAGAAGTCTGTTTAATTATGTAAAAAGGTCCTAAGACTTTTATTTTCATTTGAACAGTTTCTGCATGGTGGAAAACTAAGCAGTGAAATGTGTGAGATACTGCTCTGAACAACAACAACAACAACATAAGCACAGCAATGTCAAATACAAAAGTAAAATAGAACAGGACAACAATGCAGACTACACTCGTCACTGTATGTTTCTGTCACAAATTCAGCCTCTGTGGCTCCCTCCGATCACCACCAGAGGGAACCATCACCGGAGTACTGAGGAATCCTTTCGGACTCCAATTCCCACAATGCCCCATGCCAGAGACTAATCACCTGATTATCTATCTTCACCAGATTCGACTTCACTATAACCTACCGTCCAGGCTCTCAAAACACTAAGGCGGACGCTCTATCCCGACTCTATGAATCATCCACACTGTCTCCCAGTCAGGAATCCATCATTCCGTCTACCATCATTCTCACACCCGTACAATGGGTCAACATGACTGAGATCACAGACGCTCAGGGCACCGAACCACCTCCAGCCGAAACCCCACCTAATCTCACATATGTACCGCAAGCTCTACGGCAAAGAGTCATTCAGCTAGTTCATTCCACTCCCGGCTCCGGACACCCAGGTATAGCAGCTACCCTTCAGGGGTCACACTACCATTCTCACTGTTATCGATCGTTTTTCCAAGGCCTGCCGCCTGATTCCTCTACCTAAACTACCCACTGCTCTTGAGACAGCCGAGGTCCTCTGTAACTACGTGTTCAGGTTTTACGGCCTCCCTGAGGACGTGGTCTCTGATCGGGGTCCTCAGTTCACCTCCCGAGTCTGGTCAGCCTTCTGCCGACAACTCAACATCAATGTCAGTCTCACCTCCAGGTATCACCCACAGTCGAACGGTCAGGTGGAACGTCTCAATCGGGAACTCACTCGTTTCCTCCGCTCATACTGCCATCGCAATCAGACCGACTGGAGCCGCTACCTTTACGATTCTGCCCAGCCTTCGTTGTATCTGACGCCAGTTAATGATTTATGCCTGTCTGACCTGCCTTGTGATCTAATAAAGCTGCACATGGATCCTAACACCACTGCCTCTTTGTTACAGTTTCGCTCTGTTGACTGTGTAGTGACACAATCTCCAAAATCGGAAGAAAGTAACCATTATTAGATTTTTTTTCTTATAAATATTTTGTAGAAAGATACAGCTGACATCAGACAAGCATCAATATTTAACTGAGAGAATGATGTGAAAAAGGAAGTACAAGAGAAAGAATAAACAGTTTGCATTAATTTAGACGCATTACTAAGAATTTCTAGTTAATGGTGCCGTCATGCCAAATAAACCACATGCAATGTGAGGAGAAGCTCGTCCTGGTGGTTTTCAGATCTTGTTTTGTTAGTGCTTCTTGCAGAATGAGAGATGTTAGTAAAACTAAACACAATTTTAATTTAATTTAAATGTCAATATCACTGTTGCTCATATTTGGTTAAAAAAAAATTTTAAACTCTATTCTTATTACAGTTTGGCTCAGTTTAGACACTAAAATTCATTATTAAAGCCAAATGTCACAAACACAAAACACATTTTCTAAAATATTTCTCAGAACTATTAAAGCTTCTTGTGTTTCACAACTCTATTCAGCATTTGACACCATGTGTTCCTGTTCAGTAGCGTTCACAAACCAAACCTGTAGTTCTCACCATGTGAACACTAATATACTGCATTTTCACACTCCAGTCAGAACCACAGGATGGTAAAAAAAGAATCACATGTGAATTCATTGGCTATGAATAAAAAAAAATGCAAGCTCAAGAATTGTTTAAAATTTGATAGTTTTCTTTTTACGGCATACTAACTGTAGGGAGTTAAATTCAAGGTTAACATTAATGTTCTATAACTTTAAATAAGATCTAGAGGTAATATCGCGAGAACAGAGACCCGCGATTAGGATCGCGGGAGAGAATGATCTAGACAGTTGTGAGAGCGTAGAGGGAGAGATGACACGCTCTGTGTAATCGGATGTGGCTGATTCATGATGTTTACCTCTTCGTGTTTAATAAATCAAGTGTTATGATCTGCCGAGCTCCCTGTCGGTGTCCTCCTTGGATCAAAGCCAAGAACCCACGAGCCTGAGCGTGGTAAGAACTGTGACGCTCATATATAGGAACAACACGCGTTACACTAACTGTAATAATATATGTAGATTACAGTAGTATTTTGTTCCAAAGTGAAAAATACATAATAATTGACATGTAAAACCTGATTCACTACAGTAAGGGTTCAAGGTTCATTTGCTTTTACTGTGACACTGCAAGAATGTTTTACCAAAGCATCAGCTCCAGAATATTTTAAAAGGCACTGTTTCTTTATTAAAAAAGAACAGTTCAAAATAAGAAAAACCTACAAAGCATCAGTAATACAAGTCAGAAGACTTACATTAACGCTAATGACTCACAGCTCTACTTTTAATTTCAAATTGATCCCACAGTAGCTACACCAATCTCAGACTGTCTGACGGACATTTCAGCCTGGATGAAAAACCATCATCTACAACTCAATGAAGACAGAGCTTCTCGTCTTTCCAGCCACTTCAACAGTACAGCACAACTTCACCATCCAACAACATCAGGAAGATCAGCCTCTTCTTAACATGAAGCACAACGCCTCATCCAGGCTCTTGTCTTCTCTAGACTGCACTACTGCAATGCTCTTCTGGCTGGACTTCCACCACGTGCAATCAAATCTCTTCAAAATATCCAGAACGCAGCAGCACAACTGGTCTTTAATGAGCCCAAGAGAGCCCACGTCACCCCTCTCTTTGTCTGTCTTCTGGCTATCGGTTGCTGTCTGTATTATGTTTCGAGACACTGATGCTTGTGTACAGATCAGCAGCACTCGCTTGTTGTATTCCTCATTTGTAAGTCATTCTGGATAAAAGCACTTATTACATGAATAAAAGTAAATGTACCATCTATTATAATATTGTAATTACCGTTTTAACAATACGTGAGCTGACACTGTCGAGTATGTCACTCAGTTTGGAAAAATCGAACAAAAACATGCCTTGAGAGTCCACGCATTCACTGACTGATGGATTCTCACCTTTAAATGGAAAAGTTAATTTCTGTCACCACTGTGAACCAACCATCACACAAAATATGAAGAATATAAGACAGGTCTAAACCAGCCAAGCTACCAGAACAAAAATACACTCTGCAAAATATTGTCTAATTATTGTTATCAACAAAATCCCAGAAAATAGAGATATAACTTTATCAATATCATACACCCCTAATTATGATAGTAAAGCAGAACAAAAAAATTTACTTTTATTTCTATGATAATCAAATACTGAAAAGCAACTGAAATAGCAGTAATGTAAGATAAGCTTTCCATACTTTATGAATAAACAGTTTCGTTCAGTCAGTGTTTTGTCAAACTCTGCAGGACACCGGCCCTCCAGGACAGAGTTTGGAGACCCCTAGTGTATGTTAATGTATCAAGCCTTTTTTAACCATGAAGCGCACCTTTTGGGCTGCCACACTCCTGACAATTTTTCCTGCACCTTATTTGGATCGACCAGCAGGTGTCCCTAGCGTGCATTCAAAGCCTCAGAAATGAAACACTTTTTAACACATCTGTCTGGAAAGCTTCAAAGCTTCATGAAGCTTCATCTCACCACCACTAACATGAGTAATCCAGACTTGAAAACAAAAGTACAATCTACAGACAGAAGCCAGGAGCAACAACTTGGAAAGCACATACAGAAAGGATGACCAACAAAACACAACTGGAACACAGGGATATATACACACAAGCTAACCAGGGACTGACAAGGGACAGGTGTGGGTGATTAGTTGGCATGGTAACTAATGAGGGTTGCTATGGTAACAAACAAGGCAGTAAGGCAAACAGGAGCTGTGTCCGAAATCACTCACTCATTCACTCGCTCACTCGCTCACTCATTCACTAATCCCTATACAGTGTACTGAGTGCACTATATCAGAAAGGCGTGAACGAAATGAAGCGAACGAATTCGGACACTGGCGTATACACTGCGCGTCAGAGAGCTGGAGCTGCCGCAGAAACATCTTCGTCATATATGTACATTTATATTATTTTAGAAAATAAAATTAATAACAATAACACTCACAATGACTTAATATTGTATATACCTCCACGCCAGCTTTGTGGTTTCAAAGATGGTATTATTAGGCCTAACTTGTTTTGTAATATTTAATATATTCATAATAATTAAATACTATTAAAATGCTGGCAACAAAAATAAACACATATTACACATACATTTTATGTATATATTATTTTTAGTGTCTTGAAACTCTCCCGAGTAGCATTTAGCGCTCAGATGACGGTGGTCATAGAGCGTCCTCAGATCGTTAATTTTACATTAGGATGACTGCGCCACATACAGGTGATTAATGATTATTTATTAAATCATCCACCAAATTAGCATCACATCTCTATCATCTCTTGTAAGTTAACAATGCCACCTCAGTATCTGGGATATCAACCACCCCTGTTTCCCTGGTCAGGAGAACCGTCTAACGTTCCTACAGTTAATGACTGGATTCAGAGAAGTGAGGAGACTTGGAATCAGGCTCATCATCATTTACAGCATGCTGTAAGACGTCAGCGGAT